CAACAAGTATTAGTTTCTTGAAGCTTTCCCAGCTAATCCAAACATTCTTTAGTTCAAATTTGACCCGTATTAACCAAAACATGTACGACACATATTATTTCAACCATTTTTTAATTCTTTCAAATGGGGTTTCTCGTGCTCAGTTCCTTTTCTTATGATTGTCTTCGATATTTGAATTCCTGATGAGGTGTAATAAATAGTTTAATTGTCGCATTAATTGATATATCGTGGTGTTACTATTTCACAAAGTTTTTGCAAAACGTCATCTCCACCTAAATTGAAAATGGGTTCCCTTTTCTGGTTGGAGGGTGTGGCACAGTCACAATGGAGGGATTTGAAGATTCGAACGGATGACCTTTACGTTAGCATTTAACATGGACTGAATTGTCAGTTTGGCTCTCTTAAAGGCTATTCGATTACCAAGGAAGTAATAAAATTATGTAACTATCTTGTGGAGGTCCATATCCGTTCTCTTTGGACATATGGATTCTGATTTTTACCAAGTGTAATACCTAAATAGGGTAGTGCTTCTTATTGTATAATCTTATTTTTGTGAGACGCTAACGTCTTAATCAAAGACTTGCGGACGACAAGAATAAGTCCGGAAAAGATTTTAAATCAGAGACTTACAAACATCCTGATTAAGTGTCGTTATGACATTCCAAACACACCCAACTCATTTGTTTTTCCACAAAATAGAAACTCTTTTTGCCCGTAAAACGACTTGAACATAAAATGATTTTTTAAGCTTTTCCAAAGCATTTAAATATTTTCTTGAATTGGTTGTTTACATATTTTAAAATTATTTTGACTATGTCTATTAGAATGTTTGACTCTGTTATTTAAAAAATCTACTTCTTTTAAAAAAACGTCTTTCGAATCCGAAGTTCTCATCTCTAGTGTTTGTCGTTGATATTTTTCGATGGGATGACACAAAATAAAATTGTCGTTGAGCTTGCCAATCTTTTTGGACAGACAAACTAATTGTCACGGAACGTACGGAAAAAACATAAGTTGTACGATGTTCATGACATCATATAAGTAACCATTTATGCATGCCAACTAATATTTTCATGTAGTTAGCTACGGTTGTATGATTTATGCAATGGTCCAACAGAGATAATTTGGTCAACGTGATAGTATTCAAACGAGGTAATATGGTTTGGTTACTGCCTTGTAATGAGAAACAACAGTTTTGGCTAGACCAACCCGTACATATCAATCAAAGGTTAAATTATATACTATAAGATTTTGAATACAGTATAACTGTTACCGGATAGTTTAATTTTCTTGATGGAAACATGTTCGAATCTCGTGACCAACTTTTTTCACATTTACAATTTCTCTAGTTAAGTGTTTGTAAGTGTTTTTTGGACATGAAACCAGAAAGGACAATACAAACCTTCTATCAAAGAGGCTAAAACCAGTTTAGTCGGTTTGGATGTAGTTTGCCTATGTCAAACCAAAGTTATTGGCGTAGGACATCGTTCACATGTCCACACGTTGTTTGGACTCGATACAATTGTCGTCAAAATAACGA